ACACAGTATCCTAAGTGGACCACCCTACATTTAAAGCAAACTTAAGGGGCTGGAGAGATGACTTAGCAGTTAAGAGTGCCAGTGCTTACTGCTGTATCATGAGGACTGGAGTTCAAAACCCAGCACCCACATCAAGTGGCTCACAAACTCCTGTAACCCCAGTTCCAAGGGATCCAATGCCCTCTTCTAGCCTTTATGAGCACTCATGTACATGTGTGCCCACACGAGAATACACACACACACACACACCAAATAATGTAAAAACAAATCTTTAAGGTTGGAGAGATGGCTCAGCAGTTAAGAGCACTGGCTGCTCTTGCAGAGAAACTGACTTCCATTTCCAAAACCCACATGGCGGCTAACAACTGTCAACCATCCTTACCTCCAGTTCCAGGAAATCAGATGCCCTCTTTTAGCTTTTGCAGGTTTGCATGTTACACTTACATACATGCATGAACACTCATGTACATAAAACAAATAAGTTATTATTTTTTAATTTTTTTTTTAGGTATATGAGTATATTGCCTGCATTTATGTGAGTGCACCTGTGTTGTGCAATGCCACAGAGGTCAGAAGAGGGCTTTGGAGTCCCCTGGAACTGGAGTAAGGACGGTTCGTAGCCACCATGTGGGTGCTGGGAATCGAGCCCAGGTCCTCTGCAAGAGCAGTCAGTGCTCTTAACCACTGAGCCATTTTTAAAAAATCTTTAAAGTATACTTAGAAGGCTAGACTTTGCTGGAATTGGAGCCAAGTTTAGGCTATCACAATCATGTGTAATGCTTCCTTGCCACATATACAGTGGGCTTAATAAATCAGCAGAGAATCAGGAGGTGCTGTCTCCCAGGTGTCTTCCCTATACCTGGTGCAGCACTATATGTATACAAGTCCTCATTGTGTTAAAGAAAGTGTATAGCATGTTTTTTTATAACCTTTTTTTTTAACACACACAAGCAAAAAAGCAAATCCCTGATTCTTAGATCACGTGTGGTAGTTACTTCACACTCTGATAGAATGTCCTTCCCTGGGATTCTCTATAGGTTACAAAGGAAATCTGTCATGTAGATAAAGCATATCACACTCAATTTGGGAAACCTATGCTGCTCTGTCATCCAGCACTTGACGGTTCTGGGCCTTGCCTCTGCCTCTCTCTAAAACCTAATTCCCCATCTATAGAGCACATTAAGTAATTCTTAAACTCATGAAAGCCACGAAGAACTTAAAAAAAAAAAGTTTTAAAGTTTTATTTTATGTGTAATGAGTGTTTTTCTTTCATGTATGTAAGTATACCTGTTTCATGCAATGCCCACAGAGGCAGGAAGAGGTGGTAGGATCCCCTGGAACTGGAGTTACCAAGGTTGTTAGCTACCATGTGGGTGCTGGGAACGGAACCCAGTCCTCTGCAAGAGCAGCCAGTGCTCTTAACTGCTGAGCCATCTCTCCAGACCCCATGAAAGACTTCTGTCTCTGCTTTTTGCTTTTTTGAGACTGAGTCTCACTATATAGTTTAGATTTGCCTCACACTAGGTAAAGCAAGCTGACCTTGAACTTGCAGGGATTCTCCTTCACTGGGATTCTAGGCATGTACCTCCCTGCCCAGCACTAACTTTTGAGTTTCTAAATAAGTGTCTTCAATAAAATAACACTGAGTCCAGAAATCACTGAGGCACTTGCAAAGAGCTGGAAGTGAGTCTCATAGGAATTTCCCACCTTCAGTGTCCACAGTGGACACTGAACAAAAATGCTAGACAAACACTATATATTTTTGTCTTTTTGAATCTTTTTGAATCAATACTAGATGCAATCTGTATGTCTGTATATATGTTTCAAAATGAATTCCCACCAGTTACCAGGGATAGTCAAGGCAAAAACAGCATCCAGTATCAAACATAGGAGCCAGAAGTGTAGCCCTGATGCTGGTTTGTTTTAATTAAGAGATGACTTACCTCCTCAAGCAAGTTTCACCTATACAGGCAGAGCAAGAACATACACAATTAAGCATCTACATTAAATGAAAAAGCTTCATTACCTAGACTAGATTTAGTCTAATTAAAAAGTAAATCAAATTCACAAGGAAAAATAATTGCCACCAGGCATAACAAGCTTATTTTAATTTGGAATATGAGTAAAGGGACATGTACCATCTTAGAGGCCCAAGCTTCATTTAAGGATCCTTGGAAAGAAAAGTATGATGCAATACAATTGCTTTACTTTGGCTGTTAGATTACACCCCCCACCCCCATTTTGATTGGAGTGAGTGAGTAGCATACGGACAGGACTATAAACTGCAGTGACATTGTCACACCAATGCCAGTGATCTCCAGTTAGTCTGTGATTCTGTACAAGTGGTCAGCAGTGAAAGGATGCCCACCACGATCTGGACGGCACAAGAGATGACACCAAGGAGACCAAAGGAGAGAGAGCGCATACTCCTTCCTTACTTTGCTGGAGGCAAGGCAAACAGTAACAGAACAACTCTGTCCTGATGTTAGAAATGTCATTAAAAATGGTAGAAGCCCAGTGTGAGAAGCAGAAGTTATTTGCAGAAAACTCTGTGTGCATGCATCTGGAGGCCAGACGTCATGTTGAGAGTCTTCCTCTATTGCCATCTACCTTATTTATGAGATAGGGTCTCTCACTTAACCTGTAGCTCACTGATTTGGCTGGCCAGTGACCTCCAGAGTCCTCCTGTCTCCACCTCCACAGTATGGGATTATAGATGCATAACACCATTGAACCTAGTTATTTACATAGTAGGTGTTGGGGATCAAACTCAAGTGATCATGCTTTGTGTGGTAAGCACTTTATCAACTAAGCCATCTTCCTAGCCCCATTTGCAGAAAAGTCTTCAAGTGACTGAACAATTCCCCCTCTCTCTGCTTTGTTTCACATGTAGTTCACCCTTTTCCATTTATAAAGAGCCTGAGAATTAGTTGGCCCACACATGATGATAAGGATGGCATTACCATCACTTTGGCTCTCCACCCACACTTCTGGTTAGATCTCTCTCCCACCAGGGCCATGTATAGTTGCAGATATGAAAACCTAAAACACGGGAAAGAGTTCACTTATAGGGTCCTGGGTTCATCATCCTGCCCTCCACTTTCTCCTAGTCATTATCAGCTACTCTAGATACAAGCAAAGGTCTCCAAGGTCTCACTGGTTCCTGGTGTTTGTCAGCATCTATGGTCATAATCATAAGGTTTATGGACTCAGAAGCAACTGAGGGACCAGGTATAAGGTTTCAATGTGGGACATGAAACCCATGTGGCCTTCAGTGAGGTGTGTGATGTCACAGAACAGAAAGGCATGCTTCCCTAGGCTCCTGTAGAAGGAAACCAGACCAGTCATAGAGAAAGGGGTATAAGGAGCACTTGGCCATACAACTTTGCTGGAAAACACAGAATATAAAACGGAAACTGTTCAAGGCTTCGTTGGATGGAAAGTCACTTTATGTATATTACAGCATAAAGCATCATATTGCAAAAGCTGCAGGGGTACATTAACTTAAACAAAAGACACCAAAGTTCTCTGTTAACAGCCCAGTTTGGACCACATACTGTCCTGCCATTGTACGACACTGGGTGTAAAGTCAGGTTTTCTTCTTTCTCAGGGAAATAGACTGGTTCTAACTTTTTCCTACCAAAGAGAGTCAAGGAGCAAATAAGGGCTTACCTTATCCTTTGCCCTCAACCATCCACAGTGCTATGTCCTGATGAAGAATCTTCGGATGGCTGCATCCTCCAGAAATAGCCATGGCCAGAATTCACATCAGGCCCTATTTTTCACCCCTCTACAAGCTGTACTCTAAGTGACAGTGGGACACAGGTGAGGCTAGGAGACTTTATTCCTCCTCACTCTAACAGCCCATTTATACTAAGTGAGAACTTAAAGGAAAAGGGGAGAGGGATGGGCAGAGATAAAGAATAGCATCAGAGGAAGTTACACATAAAACTCTCGGAAAGGTCTAGATTGACAAAAAAGGGTCAAGAGAACCTCAGGAAAGCAGCAGCCTGCCTGTTGGGCATTTCTAGAAACTAAATGTGAAGGTCCATTCTCTGTGTGGCCATGATGAGTTTTTAGGGTCACCTTTCTTATGCAGACCTAAAGATCTAGAGCTAGGAAAAACAAAAAACAAAACAAAACAAAAAGCCCACCTCCACCCTTCTAGGAAGGAGAATGAAAGACCAAATGGGAGATAAGCCCAGGGCCAGAATGCCATATATACATTGTATTTTCAAAGCAACCAAGAAAGCCTAAGATTCTAATAAAGAATACAAAACTAGGCTGCAGAGATAGAGCATTTGATAATGTGCTTGCCTTATAAACATGAGCACCTGAGTTTGATCCCCAGAACCCACATTTTTAAAAAAGCTAGCTGATATTTTGCATAACGCTAGTCCTGGAGAAGTAGAGACAGGCAGTTCCCCGGATACTGCTGGCCAGATGCCTAGACAACTTGATGAGTTTCAGAGCAGTGGGAGATCCTGTTTTAAAATTGGTGGACAGTCCCTAAGGAATGACACCCCAAGGTTGTTCTCTGGCCTCCACATGCACCCACATACAAGAGCACCAACACATAAACAAATGTGACTGGGCTCACATGTACAAAGAATGTAATCCTCTAAGAAATGTGCATTCTATTGTTCTAGGACTGGCATGTCCTCCAGTTGAAGGTGAGAACATGTAGTCTCTAGCATGAGGAGCAGTGTGCTAATAGGCAGAAGTGTCATGAGGTAGAAGTGAGGAGTTCCTCATGCCACAGTCCCAGGTTGAGTAGGGGTGTTTCAGCCTGTCTGGCAGAAGAGAGAATCAGCTGGAACTCAGAACAGTCTGTGTTCAGTCACTACCCTGAATTCTAGGTGTCTTACTTTACCTACAGTCTGTGTTTTGAGTCCCACATTCAACTAAGTGAAAGCTGAGATTTTCACAACCAACTGAAGTAGGGTTCTTCCTCAAAAATAAACAGGAAAAAAGGGGGAGGGGGACAAAAAGCCACTTACTCTAAGAATCCAGGCTTGTGTTTATGTTCCACGTGAGGTCCAAATTGTATCTGGGCTTGAAACCCACCAAACTCACAAGCCTTCTCGAAGGAGACAGGATGGGAGCCGTTTAAGATGTCATCCCTAGCCTGAAAACACAAAGGAGGGAGAGTCAGGGGCTTGGAAGGGGAGATGGTTCTCCCAGGTGACACATTCCTGACCAAGCACAAAAGGTCTGAGGAGCGAGAACGCACAGGATACCCTGAGTGCTGCGGTATGGCAGAGGAATCAAGAAAAAGGTGGGGTTTTTCTTTTTTCTTCTCTTTTTGCTTTCTCAAAGTAGACAATATCAGTAAAGCATTACAAATGTCCGGCTTATCAAAAAATACAAATAATCCAGGAAGGCAAAAGAGATTATCCTATGTGATAATCCAGAAAGGCAAATGAGATAATGAAAAATGAAGAGGGAAGGAAAATCCTGTGAAATGCACAGATTCACACAGGATGAGTTAGAGAATTTGCTTCACATGAGCCTAAACTATTAAGTTAGCAGGGAAAATCTCCACAAAGTACAACCATCCCAACCATCCAAAGGATGGATGTAATATACACGAGGAGACAGACATGCAGGCAGGTGTACTACACTGAAGACTGAAGGGGAAGGGCAAGAATTGCTACCTAGGGAATGTTACCACCGACAATAGGAGGGGCTTTCCACTTCACTTAACATAATGAAAACATACAGGACAACCTGGTCTAGATCATCCCTCATTGAGACTCCGTTCCTGAGTGACTCTAGATTCTGACAAGCTGAAAATTAACACTAAAGGCCATACCCACTGATGGCCTGTTCAGTAAGTACTGTACCTGGACATAAAGCAAATTCAGCTGCACCGGGTCTCTCGAGTCCACATTCTGATCAGAGTAAAAGAACTTCCGTCGAAGTAGCAGTGTTTCATTTTCATCGACCCCTTGCTCTCTGAATGTTCGGCTGTGATCCAGCCAGTTCACTGTAACGGAACACGTGTGAGAACGCTGTGTTCATTACTCAGAGCAGCTTCATGTAGAAGCACAGTCTTTAAGATTTTTTAGAATTTATTTACTTTTATGTGTATGAGTGTGTTGCCTACACGTATGCAAGTGCACGTGTGTTGGGCAAACCCTGCAGAGGCCAGAAGAAGGTGTCAGATCCCCTGGAACTGGAATCACAGATGGTTATTAGCCACCATGTGGGTGCTGAGAATTGAACCCAGGTCCTCTGCAAGAGCACTCAGTGCTCTTAACTGCTGAGTCATCTCTGCAGGTCCCTGAATGCAGATTTTTTATAATGCTGAGGACTGGTTACAGTTACTTCTTGTATTAGAACTGTGCTTTTGAACTTTGTGAGATGATTCAGTCTAACATATGACCAACCCAAATTCCAGCCATTCCTAAAGTTAGCTACATCACTTCAAAGTAGCTATCATATGGAGATGTGGAGGGGGTAAAGAAGTTAGTGTTTTGTGTGGTTTGAATGTGAACTGTCCCCCACAAATTCATGTTGTTTAAATGCCTGGTCCCCAGTTAGTTGTGCTTTTTAGAAAGGTTGTGAGGTCTTTGAAAGTGATACCTCATGAGAAAAAGTAGGTTTCATAGTCGGGCCCAACTGCCTGCTGATCCTCTGCTTTTAGGCTGAGGATACAATGTGACCAGCTGGCCTCCTACTTCTGCTTCCATTCCTTCTCTGCCATAATGGGCTGTATGCCCTTGAACCGTAAGTCAGAGTCAACCCTTCCTTCCTTAAATAGCTTCTTGTCAGGTATTTCATCTCAGCAACAAAGTAAGTAACTGATACACCAAGTTAGAATCAAGAACAGTGACTTCAGTCTTACCATGTGAAATGGTTTAGAGATTCAGAGCTTAACATATCATCCTGCTTTCAAGTGGGAAACAGAAAGAAAATGAAAGTCACATGGTGGTGTGGAGAGGAACACTCAAGACTAGTGGGGACACCTGCCCCCCACGGGCCAGCTTGGATCTGACTCCATCCTAATTAACAATCCTGTTCCCATATCCTGGTGCACAGAAATCCATCATCCTCCTGTACACTGCTCACAGCACTCTCTCCTCCACTCCTCTCCAGTGATAGTCAAAGTAGGCAATGGATGAATCCAGTTGATCGGGAGAAAGCACCAGGACACAGATAAAACTCCAGCGGAATAGAGTTTATTAGCAAAGGAACACATGGGATAGATTCCCTTCCCGGCAGGGAAAATGTTTGCCTGGGTCATGAGCTGGGGTCTTTTATGGGGGAGGCTTCTGCTTCCCACAGAAGGTGAGAAGATATATATATATATATTTAAAGTTGGGGTGGGGAGCAGGACTGTTAAAACCTGCCCTTTTTAGAGATCAAAGGGGAAACCTGCTGTGTTGGCCAAACATTGGAGAAAAGTCTGCTTCTCTTGACTTCAAAGACCAGGGTGCTTATCAACTATGTTCCCTTTTCTCAGGGGCTTGTGAGGTCCCTGAGGCCCTGATGGTGAGGGGGTGGGGCTATCTGAACCTTAACATCCAGGAATCTCTCTCAAACACACACTATGGGAGAATATTTATGAGGAGCCTCACTAAATGCTAAGCAACTCTGGCATGTAGAATGTGCCTGACAGACAACATCTCCCACAGCCACCTGGGAAAGTATTGTGCACACATTAATAAATCCTTGGGATTTGTCTATGAAAGGCTCTTGAAACAAAAATATATAACTGGAAATCTACTGAGACAGAAAGAAAAAAGAACAGAGAAGGACTCAGAGGAAATGGCAGCTCCACCAAAGACCAATACACCTAATGACAATGATAATGTCATCCCAGTGCTGCAGCAAGAACAAGGAGGCTAGAGGGCAATGAAGGCCAGGAAATGAATAAAGAGGTTCCCAGTGGAGGGTGGGCAGCAAGGTGCACACAGCATGGGCTTTGGGGACATCTGGGGTTGCCTGTTACTTTTGTATAATATCTGTGTAACTTTTCTATGACAGACTGGTCTCATCAATTTTAAGCACTAAGGAAATAATGGATCTAAGCAATGGATATCAGAGGCTATTAACACCTCCCTGAAAGATAGCCAGAACTAGAATTAATTGTTGCCTGATGGAATCACGCTGTGGAAGAAATTTCTATTATAACAATTGTCAATCTAAGCAAGCCTCCAGATCTAAGAAATTAAGAGGGACAGAGGGTCAAAATAATTTTTTAAAATCC